CGACAAAATAGTAAAACAACTGTAGACGACCTTAGGCGAAAGATGTAAAAAAAAAGATATTGACAAGATAACAATGTATTTTTTTAATCTTGAAATTGAAATTAACGACAAGTTAAGTCATTTAATATGCATTGGGAATTATTGTTGTTCAGTCTTTAGTTTTCTATGATGTGTTTTGTCTGTTGGTCTTTTTCTTTTTTAGTCATTGCGTTGTCAGTCTATTTTTAACTAATGAGTTTAAATGTCCCTTTGGTATCTTTCGCCTCTCTTTAATTTTAATTTGTTGGATCTTTCCTACGGGATTTGAACCAGCATCGATCTGTTATCAGGCCGAGGTGCATCAGTCCTCTCGGCCACGGACCACACTGAAAATTCATAAAAAATCTTATTTTAGACGTTGCATAATACAGTAACTCTCTCACTTTCATACAGAATTTTTGAAAAATACAGGTATGATAATTGTTCCATTTTTTCCAAAAAAAAAGGGCAATTGTAAAAAGTACAAACATCTTAGGGAGTAGCTGAGATTAGTTGTTTTCATTTAAGCCCTTGGTTCTAATCTGTTTGTAAGAAAAAAACAAAAATACCGAACTCCAAGGAAAATTCAAAACAGAAAGTCCCTTATCAAATGGCAAAATCAAAAGCTCAAACACATCAAACGAATGGAAAACAAATGTCATATACCTGACTTTGTACAGGCATTTCCTTATGTAGAAAATAATAAGATAGCCTAGAACTTTAGGTTTAAATCCAAATCGTAGTCGACAAAAATGCTTATGACTCGAGATAGGGTCATTGAAACTATAGAATTAAGTCACCGTATGTGTACGACATTCAACAGAGAGGAACATACCGTACAGAAAGGCTCCAACATGACAAAATTTGGAAAAATTCACTCAAAAAAAACCCCAACGATCTGATTTATAACACAACAATAAACGAAAAACGAATATGACAGACAACAACCAGTGAATTACAGGCTCTTGACTTGGGATATGCCCATTTAGAATGTGGCGGGATCAAACTTTTTTGTGAGCGCTGAATCCTTCCCCTAACATGGGCCAGTTTCTATTTTTTGGCGTTCTGTCCACCCGCAGACAGATGGTCGTATAATACAAATAACGCCAATTTACTGGGGTTTTTTTTTTTTTTTTAGTTTGTAGGCTTATCTTTTTTTTCTTGGTTTCTTTCGGTTCCTCGATTGTTGAAGGGCAAAGTTTTGTTCTGAGGTTTTCAGCCTATGCTTTATGTAATCATAGACTTATACAGGGTGAAAAGCTGCTGATTTACCTGATTAGTATATATTTTACAGGAAAATACCCGAAGCACTAATTAAAATTTCGTCTACGTAAATCCAATAGCCGTTTTGGAAGTAATATTATGTCTTCTTACAAAAATGTTTACGATGGAAAAAGAAACAAATGCTATGGTAGCGGTCCTAGGTAAAAGGGGGACTTAGTCTTAGCTTGAAATTCATTGATGATATTCGTGATAAAAATGTTTATTATTTTTCAAGTCTTTCGATTTTACTTTATGATTCCGTCTTTAGAAAAGACATTATGTTATTGTATACATCGTCTGAAATTAACACCGTAACTTGACTGGGATACAGATATATGGTTATGTCTGGACTTATCCCGTTCCGGCTGTAAACCATAATAATTTGGTATAAAGTGGAGTGTCCGTTTAGCTGTGCAGAATGTATAAATTTGCAGCCACTTCCAGTCAACATGGATGAGTGTCATGCTCTCTTCACGTTAAAGAACACTTGGAAAAAAACTCTTTGAGAGGTCCGTAGATGGCCTGTCTGCAAGGCAAAATTGTTGCACATATCCATTATACCCCTATTTTCCAGTGGCTGTCCAAATGTTCCGCCCTTCTTCCCGGACGACCCACCTTGCAATACCTACCTACGGCATTTATAATAGATTTTGTCTTGGCCTGAACATGCCATTGGACGTTAAACAAGCAACAATTAATCATGTGGCAATATAGAGGAAACGAGAGGTGATGGTACAGATTATTTTCCATTGATTGATTGATTGGTGTTAAATGCCACTTTCAGCACTTTTGGCTATATCGTTGCGGTTAGTTTTATTAAAGGTTGAAGCCGGATTCAATTAAGATTGGAGTCGAATGCACCTGCCACGTGCGGAATCTCTAATCCAGATCAAGAGTAGATAGTTACATGTTCCCAAGAGGACTCCAGCTTCCAACCCCAGCCCCCATCTCCAAATAGAAAACTAAGATATCTTTTCAAAATACCCCAGTATATAATGCAACAGAATTGCATTTTTCGATATAACTATAAAATGTCAACCGTAAGTGTTTGAATTAGAATAAGAATGCTGGATTATCTATAATTATAAATATTGTGTACACGATATGTATTTGCCACATATCTTTGCCACTGTCCAAAAGGTGGATATATTACTTGTACATGCATAAAAATCTGACAGCTAGTACTTATAATTTTGTAACATTTTGAACTAAAACAGTTTCTGTTTTACCAAATTGATTATATATATATATATATATAAAGAGAATATTACATGGTAAAATCTGCATTATATGCTGTACATATGTATCAACCCGGGTAACCAATATAGTCGATATTGGTCAAGGGCAATACAGCATGTGATACGGACTTTAGTTTTTTTTCAACTTTTTTTTATCTCCTTCCGAAAACTATATTGGTTGATCGTTAATATAGCATTCAATATGGATTTGACATGAATTGATCATCTTAATGTTAACACAACAAACAAAATGTACTCGAAACTATTGATTTTTTTTTACTTTCGACAAGAACGGTCATTTATGCTATCCTCTAATAGTAAAATGTCTTCTACCAGAATGTTTATGTTTTTTTTCTCTCCCATTTCCACTGTCCCCGGACTGCGGCTTAAGGACAGTTTTAATCCCAGGGTGCTTTTGACAAAAACTTGTATAAAAGCTATTTTTCAACCTCGACAATTCAAATATGTAAAAAAAAACCTTCATACGGTACTTTAAGGGATAAATGGGAACAAAATATTAGACATTTTCTCAAAATTTTGGTTTCTTCGAAAATTTTATCCTTTTGACAGGCATATTTAGATTTTTCAAAAGATAAACACAAGCTGATTTTTGTAAAAAAAAAACAGTTAGAATATCTACTTTTCATAAGTATGCTCTACATTTGTGTTAAAATCTTTTTATTAGTTGTTATTGGCTTTGAACTAACTGTCAGTAACTGAGTACTCTCAGATCCGTACTTATATCTTTTTTGTTATAGGGATGTATAAATACATGTACCCTGCCACGTCCGGTCTGTGTTTTTATTACTGTTTTCCTGCTTTATATCGATCCCATGAGTTAAGCCCTTTTCAAAAGATTTTTATAGTATTCATATGTTGAACTGTTACACCACTGTCCCAGGATAGGCGAGGGTTGGGCACCCGCTAACATAGTTAACCCGCCACATTCTGTATGTGCCTGTCCCAAGTCAGGAGCCTGTCATTCAGTGGTTGTCGTTTGTTACTGTATATCAAATTTGTATTTCGTTCATTGTTTTTTTACATAAATCAGGCCGTTGGTTTTCTCGTTTGAATTTTTTAACATTTGTCATTTCGAGGCCTTTTATAACAGACTATGCGGTATGAGTTTTGCTCATTGTTAAAGGTCGTGCGATTATCTATAGTTGTTATCTTCTATGTCATTTTGGTCTCTTGTGGAGAGTTGTCTCATTGGCAATTATACCACATCTTCTTATTTCTATAATTATTAAAGTTTCATGATTTTAGAAAAGAAACAGGAAGTGTTTCCTCTATAACTACCGATAGTCGTATGACGCCTTTCCTCGTCGGTTTCCACTATGGGTGTAACTAAGTACGTTATGTATGATGATGGCCTATATAATTGTCGAAACTTTTTGCAGTAATTGTGTTCAAGCGAATTCTGCTTAATATAGGTAATTGAAACGCCGTTAATTTTTTTTTTTATCTTTGTCCAGTTATTAGTTTTGTAAATATACCGTTTAAACCGCAACCCAACAAAATACACTAGAACTGAGTCAAATAACAATAGACCAGTGTTTATATTGCTAACATTTGTATCAAATATACTTGAACAACCACCATTTGCGAAACGTGGAAAATAATATACCGGTAAGAGACTCTTAAAACATTTGAATTCGCCATCAAAAGTACAAAAAGCATGCCGACTTTTAACAGATGCATTTGTACTTTTGTTTTTTGTTTTGTTTTTGTTTTTGTTTTTACTTTGTTTTTGTTTTTTTGTTGTTGTTTTTTTTGGGGGGGGAAGGGGGGTATGTTGTATGTACTATATATTTTCCCCATTTTTCCTTCAATAGAAAGATTGATTAGTAACTGTTATGATTGTTTGCTTTAATTGTGTATAAGTAAAATAAGACAAAAACCCACAATTAAAATTACTACATAATAATGGTAGAACAGACGTCTTAATAATAATAATATTAATATCAGTATAACAGAAGATATGATTTATCAATAAATAATACCATATCAAAGATTTATTCACAGTTACTGACATCTATAATTATTTGATACTGAAAAACAATAAAAAAAATAATTGGACAAACGATTCATGCACGTCAACTGATATGTACTAAAACTTGTTTTAGCAATCATCTGGATAATTATAACCTTCAGCACCATTTTCTATTAGTTATCATACATATATATCTATGAATGAAGTGAATCGATGTCATATTGTACGATTCTGTGAAGTAATGGAATAGAACATCTTTTTGTGTGATCGATGTGGTTTTGCTGTTAAAAGGGGTCGATTTGATATGGTAATATAACGCCAATCACAACGGGACAATTTACTAATTGTAAGCAATATTTCTTTTGTGAACAGATTCCCGCTATTGGTTGTTGGAAATGTCATCATATAGACCTACTGCTTACCTTATTGTAATGTTAATGCTTCTTAATTGATTGTTTAGTTGCTGTATAAAACTACTAAGCAACTGTTAAAGAAAAGTTTTTAAAATTCTGAAAGGAATAAAACAAAGGAGACATGTTTGGTATATCTTTGTTTTAAAACTTAATACAATATAAGAAAGGATGATAACATATAGAGAATAATTATACGCACCCAGTTCAGGATTTATGTACATCTTACGATGACAGTAAATTGGACGTCGGAGATTTATCCAAGTATATCTTTATTTGATTTTGAAAATTCCTCCATCAATCCGTTTCTACTTTTTGACGAATTCAATTCGACAGGATCTTATAACGATTTAAACATATCGACGGCGATAACCATACTTACTATAAAAAGTAACCGAGAGTTATGGCGAGACATACCGCTAGGTTGTACCTTGACACTTTTATCTTTGTTGACCCTTGTTGGAAATGCATTGGTGCTTCATGCTGTCAGGACAGAAAGACGATTACAAACGGTAAGTTGTACTTCAAACACACAAAAACAAACATACAGTTCAATTCACGAGTATGTCGTGTTTGTATGTTTTTTTTAATTGCTCCCACAGATATTTGTTTTATTTACATATACCTGTATGATACCAATTTTCAGAAATATTGGTGTTTTGGGGAATACCTTTGCATAAGATTACCCACTTTCAAACTGGAATAAAACGAAGAGGGCAATTGGTGAAAAGTTGCAACTAGTAAACAAAAACGGCAGCTTTGGAAATTTGTTCTTTTTACTTTTTAGGTGTTTCCTTTTATCTTCGCTTTTCTGCAATATATTTTCCATGCAAAATCTCAATTACTTTAAATTTCATTGCAATTTTTTTTTATCTTTTCACGTTTTATTTTACATTTATTACTTAAGTGTTTTGTAAATATTTAGGTTTTTCAAAAAAATGCATTAAGTTTTTATTTTTTCTAGCAACCTGTGTGTTTTCTTTGATTAAAATTAAGATTATTTTCAAATCAATCTTAAATTCTTGTTATTCAATTAAGATATATGACATTTCCATTCCACTCACATGTTTCTTGTTAGATTTCACCGATCGAAAGTTGGATAATTTAACCACTTGAATCCAAGACATGCACGCAACCTACTCTAGTTTATCTTTATTTTTCATTAAATCGTTTAAAGCGAAACATGGCAATTTTTACCAAATTGTTTATTTTCTTATCTTGGCGTTTTATCTAATTTTATTTGCATTACCTGAACTCATCCACTAGTTTACTGATTGATTATTGATTGCTTTATTTCAAATGGCAAATATTTCATGCATTTTCAGAAAAAGAACACATTAACAATAAACACAATAGGTTATGCAATGTAGATATGACGGGATGTAGAACAGGGATTTGCACTGCCACTGGAAAACGAGGGTATGTTGTATAGAGGAAGTAATTTGCCTTGCAACGGGACACATTCGGACCCCTCAGAAATAGTAGTTGTAAGGTTTCATTAAGTACACCACACTGGGTAACGGATTTAACATCCCCAGTCTAACTGAACATGGCTGCGTATATATGTACCCGTACCCATTCAGCCAACAGACGCCCACTGCAGTTAGGGTTTACAGGCAGAAGGGAGAAGTCTAGACATGATCATATTACTATACCCCTGGGAGCCAACCATCGAGGAGTTTGATATTTGTGTTAAAGGGAGAACCATAACGATGTAAAATTATTCTATCCTTTTCCGTCTGTATGGTTGTTTGTTTCTGTCATAGCATATACATTGTAAAATATGTCATGTGATTATGGTCCTTGATTCTCTCCATTTTGCGCAAGTATCAAATTTAAAAATTATTCCTACGTTATTAACCACTAGAAGAGGACTTTGGTTTGTTTAAGTCAAAAAACAAACCAGTAAAGATAAATGAAGGTTTCGAATCTCGATATTTTCTTGTTGATTATATTTAACACCAAACAACCTACTTATTAGAAATTCGACACATTTATATGTAGCATTTGGCTTTAGAATTTTTAACCTCATATAACGATACTAATTCGATAAATCACAATGCAACTTGTTAAAATTAATGTTTAAATTATGCCTAGTATTTGATCAGCTCAAAATAAATATGTCTAAAATTCAAGTTGTTATAACATCATGTTTAATCTTGGTGTCATTATTGTCATGTAAATAGCTAAACCTGAATCTGAAGAGTTTAAGAAGAAAAAAAACTCTATATGAGTTGCATTGTTTCTGTGTAATGTAAATTATAGCTTTGTTAGGTATATTGTGGCGAATATTTACATAGAACTTATCATGTTTTTTTGGTTACGTACTAGTTTTCTGCCTGTTTTTTTCTGAGGAAAAGTCGGTTATTAAGTTGAAGTGCGGCTGCCAACAGTTTCCGTGCTATAACTTATTATACTTTCAACCAATTCTATTCAATATTACTATGTTGTAACTGAAGACAAAAGTGAGGTCAATCTTTCACTTTTACTGTGAAGGAGTTATGGTCCTTGATAGACTGGAAAATAGCACTTTAAGTCTATTCCGTGCAATAACTTATGAACTGATCACCCAATGCCTTTTAAATGTTAATATATTGTTACTAATGACAAAATGGGGGTCAATTTTGATATTGACTATTTTACTTTTACCGCTGATTGTGGGTAGATTTGGAAATAGGCAGAGAATCAGTAATCACTATAACAATAATTGAAGAGCGCAACACATTTTACAACAAGAAATGAGCTTGTTGTAATTAAAATGTGTCGCGCTCTTCAAATATTGTTATAGTTATTACTGAAAGGTTCCATTGAGAATCAATCTGGCGAAGTATTGAAAGGGGATATAAAATTCAAAGGGATTAAAAACTTATACAAAATATTTCTAGTAAGAGAGAGAGGGGTTAGAAAGATAACAAATGCAACATATGAAAAAAAATACTCAATGATAATAATTAACCGTGTCTCCCTCCTTTCGTTTCATCTGCCTTTTCTTATGTGGTAACTGTTTTCCCCTCTTCCCTCTAGAATTGAGATTTATAATGTTTCTAACAGTCTATTTGCCAATTGTCTATTTAACTTTGTAATTACATGTTTTTGACACAAGTTGTTTCCCTTTGCTAATTGTAGAGTGATTCTGAACCGAACAAAATGGGCTACTGTCCTAACCCGAATAATTCAGTCCCTCCCCGTGATCGACTCTCCCACTCGCGAGAATGTAGCCATCGTAGAGCAGTGAAATATAACGACTGAATTATTCGGGTTACTACTGTCAATGCAAAACATGATAAGTGCAAAGTGATAAATAGGCGTTTTAAACATTTTTTTAATGAAAAATAACTATTGATATCAAAAGTGTTTAGCTTAACAAAGATTAAATGTAATTAAGACATTTGAAAAACTTTAAAGATAACATCCATTACATAATATTTAAGATAAATTTGCTCTTTCCGCTAGCTCTTCATTGTCAATGAAAATGTTTGTCTTTCCTAAGAGAAACAACGCATACAAACGAATCTCCTACTACAGGGCCAATTACGGAATTAACCAATCTTGACAATAGAGCAATGCTTTTTTGAACATTTTTTTTTAAAATCAAATCCAAAAATATCACTTTGGCAGAAAGAAGGTTAAGTCATTATATGGTATATTCAATTTCTTCGGAGTTTTCCATGACTTTCATACAGAGCCAATTCTTAGACAGCAAATTTGACTTTTAACTCTTTGTGACACAAATATGTTTCAGTAAATACATAATCGACAGATTGTGACATATATATAATTGTTAATCTGTGTCATTTGGTCTCTTGTCGAGGGTTGTCTCATTGGCAATCATACGACATCTTCTTATTTTTATAAGTAATGCATTCAAAAAATGTCTGGCGATAGTTTTTGATAAACCACATGTTGCTTAAAATTGTCGTCTCGACATTGCACTCTGCATTTTCCATTAAATCTGGTGAGAAACATTTTACCACGATGACTATACTCCTTATTTATTCACACTCAAGTAATTTTTTTAACAAATTTAAAATTCTCGGTATAGCTTGTTTTCTAAAGTTTTAAAATTAAACTATCTCATTGGATACGATAGAATCTTTATGTGTTTTCGTGTGAAAAGGAAACACGTTGATATAATCAATATCGGAGTTATATTGAATGATTAAACTAATAATTGTTGATATCTTATAACTTATTTCTTATAGCAAGATTAATAGTTACATTTTTTGTATGAACTAAACATTAATAAATAAGAAACACTTTGATATAATTCATTAGCTTTGATACATTTACACTGAACGATTAAACTTATCAAAAATTAAAATATTTTGAAATATCTTATATCTTGAACAAGTATGCATACGTTTGTATTTTACTTCTACGTCATTTTGGTATCTGGTGGAGAGTTGTCAGATAAGCAATATACCACATCTTATTTTTATATAAAATTATATGGTTAATACGTAGTGCTTCTTTGCATGAACTATACGCGACTAAACGCGACTTGTAATGAGATATTTAGAAAACAATTTGTCTTCTAATTTTTGACGGTACATTTAATTAAAATAAAATACTGTCTCTACCCTATGACAATGTCGTTTCTCTAAATTTGCTCTTGTCATCAACAAATTTTGTGCCTTGTACGTCAAACTGTCAAGATGTTGACTTTAATAAAGTAATCACTGTTTGACACACATCAATTTCAATACATATTATTACAGCCGAGAACTTTTCTGTACATGGGTCGTCTTTTAAATGAGAAAACAATTCAGATACTTAGAAAATGGGGAATTAAAAAGCCATCAAACCGTTCACTTGCTGGCTTCGAATCAATGCACTGGAAAAGAACACATGAATTGTTACTTTTTTCTTCTCCAACTCATACCAGGATGATTAAACAAATAATGCAAAATCAACACTGTAATGTTGGTCATGTATGCTTTTACAGATGTTGTGAATATTGAATAAATAATTCAACATCAATGTTCATGCCAGAAAGAATTGTGAACAATTTTTCAATGAAATGATTTAGGAACCGCTTTAGCACTATTATGTATTCAAGTAACAAGTGCATTGTAGTATTATCTTGATTTTTTTTCGAGGTTTTTACGTTCATTTATTTTTTTTAACATAAATATCTTTTCAAATTTCTTACCATTATTTACTCTTCATTCTGCCTAAATGCTTTTATATGTGTCAACTGCATCGTACTAAAAGTTAAATATTATATTTAAATATTCCACTATGAAAAATTCAAATTGTAATAAAAATTCAGGATATCGGTACTAAAAGAAAGTAAATTACCTGTGATATCTTGATCAAGTTCGATTGAATACCTTTCATATAATTCCGTAACGTTTAACAGAAACTAGGATTAAATCATCAGTATTAAAGTTAGTAGATTCACGTGGATGACTGGTTGAGAATTTGACTATAACTAAAAATGGATTATGGATGGTTAAGAAATTTGGCCGGGCAAAATATTACCTACTTGTACGTTCTCATCACAAAAGGT